CTAAAATGTCCCCTGGGGTTGCCTCCAAAAAGTAATTAAACGAAACCTTTTATTAGTTTTCGGGATTTAATTACAGAATTACAGGTGTATGCCCAATACAGTATTAAAATGCGGTCAAGCAACAAGATTCAATGCTCACAGTCTCTCACAAATATCTGTCATTTAGCTTCCTCTTTCAACACTAAAGCTAAACGAACTTTGAGAGGAATGATATGGAGTTCCACTAGCTCTGAAGAGCTGAAAATATGCACATTGTAAAGTATAATACATCCTTTAATGAACCTCCCATTGCTGTGTCTAAACTCCTCAATCTTGCTGTGCACTGGTCCTCAAAACTGTGATCGGTCGGTATGATTGTCCGAAAAATTTTCTCTATGAAAAAAAGTACCTAATTCTAGTTTTCTATGACATTGGAACAGTATTTCCGTGATAAAATCAACATTTTTATCCGTCTCTTTGATGAACACTTTGCTTGCCATTTTGAAAGTTACTGACGCGAGACGTGACGTCATACTGGCAGGCGGACTGTACCAAAGATTTCCTTGGAGACACCTCGATCCCCCCCCCTGGTTACAGGTCAAAATTAAATTGAGGTTAAAATTTTATAACCTAGGGTAGGTTATTTTATCTTTGGTTTAAATTTAATTTTTTTGTTTTTCAAAACTCATCATCATAAACCATACCCCCAAAAAACAGGAAACAAAAATACAATCAAAACTCTCTAGCTTGTATGCTTTGTTTTCCCAATAGAGGTCTCAGGGGAATTTGACCACTTGTTTTTTCAGAAATTATGCACACATATGCACGAGAATAATCAGAAATTTGAAAGAAACAGTTCTCTGGGTATTATCACATGACATACGGTACATTGGGAAAACAAAACATACAATCTAAAGACGTCTATTAAACCACAACATATATACTGGATGGATACAACTTTCAGTGAACTTTAGCTAAGCATGACTGAAAATGCGGTATCAGCATTTCATTAATTTTCGAGTTGAAATTTTTGTATTTACCAATTTTTCTTACGGTATTGGGGTATTTGGTACCCCCATGTCCCTCTCTCCCCTTGAAAGTGACTGGGCATCATGCTCATCATAGCTGGGAGAAATCTCTGGTCACCAGCCTTTAGTGACAACTATAATTTCGGTTGACCTGCACCATTCTAAACCTCTTATTTTATTGGTCACCTGTAATCTGCACTTCCATTGTTTTCAGGGATAGGGGCATTGTTATGTCACAATCCCTATTGTTTCCTCAGCCAATCACAAACAATCTTTGAAATGGGTGCAGATCGGACAAGGATGAACAACAGGAACAAAAAATTATGAATAAAGAAAATCCTTTGAGAAAGTTGCTTATAACCACAGTAGAAGATTATCTGGTTTGTGCAGGTTTTTCTCCACCAACATGATTAGATATGCAAATTTTCAAATTTTCAACAAGTGAATGTACTTAAAATAAAAGTACATGTAAATTTAAATATTGTACATGTTTTCTATTCTCTGTCGCTACACTTATATTTCTGTTATAAGTGTTCAATACCGAAAATTGAGCATGAGTCACAGAAAACGAAAGTATTCGTAAACCACAAAACACGGTTCAATACTGTAGACATTTGTATTTACGTCCTTTAACTCGCGAGGCCAAATAAAAAATGACGTATAGTAGACAAAATGGTTATTCATTCGGAGTTTTCCTGCTTCAAACACATTACAAACGTGACAGGGTTGACTGTGGCAGCCGTTGTCAGTCGTTGTCAGTACTTAAGGCTTAAATTACGTATTATATAATCTACCGGACAACTGGTATTAAAACTTTATAATCGGCCTGTATACTGTAGGAACTTGTTTAACATACTGATTTAAACACATTTACAACAAAAAAGGCGCAATTCATCTATCGTCACGCACATAAAAACCGGCCGGTCGATGTATTACGCCGCGCACAATGTGGAATTGTGCAGCCAGTGTGGCTTAAGTTACCTGTTAGTGGTTCCATACGCATCTCTCTTTGCACTTTCTTCTTGGTCATATCGGTTTAACTTACAAGTTGTACCCTTAACACATTCATCCGGCGAAGATTCAGCCATGGAAGCCATTCACCGAAACAAATACAACATAAACAACATCAAACACGTAACTTGATCCCGCAGTGCACACACACTGTGTTGCTCAGCGGTAGACAATTTCGCCCGCCTTTCGCGCGATTTCGCGTGTACTCCCACTCGCTATGGCTATGATTCTGGAATCACGGTTCCTCGTCAGTGGAACCTGGATTCCGAATTCCAGATACAATATTTAGCGGGATTCCGGATTCCTTGAGCTGAATTCCGGATAAAAACCTCAGGATTCCGGATTCCACGATAGTTTATTGCCCTTTCCGGAAATATTTCTTGTCGTATTTCGCTTTTTGTACATTATTAGTCGCTGAGTGTATAAATGATTTCCTTGCTGTAACAATCAAAATTTCCTTTTTTGTTGAGACGCGGTGCTTG